ACAGGGCAACTCTTGTTTCCAAATGCCCTTTTCTCTAATAACTCCCAACTTTCTTCTGATCTTAGCAATCGAACAGTTGTTTCCGTAGCTTATCAGCAACATCAATATTCTCACTCAATTTTGAATCCGAGTCACTAACTTGATTGAAAATTTTATCCAACAACTTCTTCTCGTCATATCCTTGGTCGAGCGTGCACCATGCACGAAGGTCGAAATGGCTAGAAACTGATTTATTATTGTATACATTGTACGCCAAAGTAGTTTTACCTGAACCCGGCATACCAGTGATCGAAATGACATCTAGATCTGCCGGTCCACTGGTGAGCTTTCTAAGTATCAAGTTTGTCTCCTCCTCAAAACCTACAATTATTTTATCAGTTGTCAATGACTTGCTTTCAACTGGCCTGGGGGTGTTTACAACAATGAGGCTCATATTCTTGGGAATCTTCTCATGTAAATCAGAGACCTCTTCTTTGATAAGATTGATCTTATTTATGGTAATGGGAAGTGAGAAAATAAGATGTAAGAGACCATTATCTCGAACAATAATTGAATCAATGACATTTTTTGCCTCATATGCCACATTTAAAACTCGTGCCCAGATATCTTTATACCATTCTTGCTCAATATTCACGAAAAAATATCTTATTGATTCTAGGTCTTGTTTCACCAGCCCAATTTCTTCCTTTATCAAAGCTATTGAATAAGCATTGGAATCCAGCAAATAATCTAAGTGTCGCTGTAGCAGATGCATGAAGAGAGGTCCATCACTTATTGGGAAGCAACGATGAGATGAATCCGGTACTTTCAGATAAACATGTTTGAGATCTTCCTTGAGGAGTTCAATATTTTCCAGCAACTTTAGGGTTGCACGATTTGTCTCATCGGTACTCTCTTTATTCCTTAATTTCTCTTCTAAGTCGTGAACAAGAGTTGATACCTCCTTGATAAGTGCTCCAACATATGCCAAAAGATCAAATAATTTGTCATGATGAATAAAGTCCTTGGGCATATCAAAAAGAATAATTAATAGGAACTCAATCATGACATGAATGTTTCGAGCCCCTAA